TTTTTTTTAATCTAACAAAAGAAGTCCCACTGCCCTTCCCGCAATGCAGTTCGCTTTCACTGAGGAAAGCAAAGTGCACGGTCAATGTTAGCTTACAGCCTGGAAAGGGAGCATGGACATCTGACAGTCTGTTTCAGAGACTCCTCGGTGGACGAGCCCCAGGAGCAACCACAGTAATAACCACCTTCTCCTCAGGCTGAGCAAAGTCTGTGAGTACTTGTCTTTGCTCCTTTGTCTAGAAGCACCCCCACCCGGTGGCTGTCTGTCCTGGCACTCTGGGAGTCCCAGTCCCCCCTCCACCCCACCCCCGCCCCAGCCCAGGCCTCTCTATCTGCTCCCAGGCCAGGCCCGCCTTAGGGGGATCCAGCCCCTCAGGCCCAGGGCTCTAGGAGAGATGGCGCCCCTTCCCTGCACCCCACTTTACCTGGCTTTCTTCCAGGTTCCGTTGGCAGCCAGGGGGGTCAGGGTCTGAGCCTGCTGGGAGGTGGCGGGGTTCTGGCCTGCCGCTCCCCAGACAGCTTTTCAGACTCACACATGTGAAGGCTCCTTCTACCAGCTACCTACTGAGAGTGAGTCACTGCGGGACCCACAACTTCCTGCTCCAGGGACTGCTGCCGCAGAAAGACGAATGCTAAACCCTCAACTGAGTGCCTCTCGGGGTGCGAGGGGACCCCCTTCACAGCCAGCAGAGTCCTCCACAGGAGCGGGGGAGGTGTCAGGGTAGGCTGCTGGTTCTAGTGACTTCATGGAAATTGGAAGCTTTAAGCTGGAACAATTTTCAAAACACAAGCACCAAAACCTCTATTAGCAGCCCGAGACTGCTGGGGGCGGGGAGTTAATGCATCTGTAATGAGCAATTAGAGGCAAGGGCAGCCTGGACCGAACTCCTTCCTGCCCTGCACTCACAGAAAGCCTGAGCCTCAGTTTCCCCACCCACCCAATGAGGGGGTCTCAACCTCCTCACAGTAGGGCTGGGCAGACCGTGGGGTCCTGTGAGAGGTCAAAGACCTTCCTGTCTGGCCGGCTGTGCCCCATCACGCTGACCCCACGCCAGCGTCAGACAGCAAGGCTGAGGCCCAGCCCTGGAGACCGAGCCCCAGAGAGCATCCTGGCAGCCCCAGGCCCGGGAGGCCAGGATCAATCCGCAGGCCACTTCTGTTTGGCCAGGCCTCCGTCTCCCCACAGGGACTGTGCAGTGCTCAGGGACAGAGCTGCAGGCTGGAAGGGCTGGAGGCAGGCACCTGCCAGTCTTCATGCCTGACCACACCGCGGGGGCCCACTACAGATTTCCACTCTCTCTCCTGACAGTAAGCCCTAAGGCTGGAGGACCGCAGAGAATGGAGTCCCACTTCCTGGAGGACTGCTGCCCTCCAGGCCTCCCTTACGCCCTTCCCTCATGAGGCTGCCGCTGAGTCTTCCCTGCCGACCGGCCGTGCCACTAGGTGCCAGCACCGACCTGGGGTCCGGGCCGGCTCACGGGCCTGGAGACTCACACTGTGCTGGGCTCAGCACACAGCCTCCAGGAGTCCCCATCAGCCTCATGGCTGCATCCCATTCTTGTCCTTCTGGAGAAAAGGAAACAGGCTCAGAGAAGGAGAAGAAAAGGAAAGCCAAGATTCGCACGCGGGTCTGTCTGAGCCAATAGCCTGCGCTCTCAACCTCTCCTCCAGGATCCCACTGGGGATCCAGGAGCAGGGGATAGCTGGGGTGCCCTCTCTGAGCTCTCCCCGCCTTGGTACCCAGTGCTCCCAAACCTACTGCGGAGACCCCCAGAAGAGGGGCCCGGATGGGCTTCTTGGCAGCAGCCAGGGAAAGCTGGTCTCTGCACACTCGGGGTTCCCCGGGGCACAAAGCCGAGGCCCGACCCCTCTGTGCCACGCTGCAGCGCTGCTCCGGTCTGGCTGGCTCCCTGCCAGGTGTGTGGGAGCCACAGGTCACGGAGTGGGAGGCCGGGAAATAGTGTGCAAGCAGGGGAGGGAAGGCCGCAGCGACGAGTTAGGCAAGGGACAGATGACGTGTTGTCTAAGCAGATGGGGAGTCCTGAGATTTGAGCCCGGCCACCCCTGTTGGGAAGACTGCGCCCAGCACCTCTGTATCTTTCAAACTCCAGGGGGGCAGGAGCAGGGAGACAACCACCCACACTCCAGTCACGTCTCCTTTACTTTCACACTCCACCTCACCGAGTGGACTTGGCCAAGTGCCCTGATCTTGGGGGCCACCTCCTTGGGACGCAGTGAGACTTAAGAGAGAAAAGTGGGGTGGGGGCTGTGGGGAGCACACATAGCAAGGGATCACTCCATACCAGCCGGCCAAATTCTACTGTCTGCCTGCCCCGGCCAAAGGCCATCCATGATCTGCGGTGGCTCTTGAGCCGAGTCCTGGATCCTCTCCCTGACACCCCATACCTGGCAGAACTCGTCTTTCCATCCTGATCTCTCCTGACCCCACTACCCACCTGTCTCACTCTTCCATACCTTAGCTCAGGCCTTCTGCCAGCTGGAATGTCAAAACACTACCCCTCAGATAAGACAAGTGCAAATGCCACCTGCCCTGGGCACGGTGCCACAGGCCTCTCCAGGGGACAGAGACAACCCCCTCCTTCTGCAGCATCGCTTTCCGCTTCTAGTAACAGATCCTTGTTCCCAGGGGAATCCGCCCCCTACGGTGAGCTCGAGACCAGTGTCCCCTGAGGAGTGGGCTTGTGACTCAACGAGGCCCACTGAGATTCACTTCTGGGACTTTTATCAGATCTGCGTGGAAGCTGGCTTCATCTCGCTGGGCCAGGAGGGCGTGCGTAGGGTTGGTGGGTCCACCTTTGCCCTCCGTGCTGGGCTTCCAAAGACCCTCGCCTCCTGCTGCCCGGGCCCTCGTGCTCGGTCCTTAAGCGTGCAGCCTACATGCCGAACAAAATGTTGGAAAAATCACAATGCGGGCCCTCCCTGGTGGCGCAGCGGGTTAAAGCACAACACTGAGAATCTAAAGCCACTTCCGCATGAGTTTGATCCCCGCTGCCCCCGAGGTGACCACAAGGTGTGGCAGACCTCTCCTGACCCGCCTGCTGCTGCCCTCAGCAGTGTACTTCATCGATCTGCCTGTTCTGCTCCCCACTCTGCCTCTGGTGAATCCTCTCACTGGCCCTGCACCTCCGGCCTGGATCCCAGTTCTGTCTGCACAAATAAATCTTAAAAAAAAATCACAATGCGTGGCCTCTCAGGTCACAAAACACAAGTTGCTTCCACCCTGCTCTGGGCTGGGTCACTTGCCCCAGGAGAAGCCAGGCCCCGTGATCCGAGGGTGCTGGTGGAGAGGTCCCCGTGGAGAGAGCTGAGGCCTCCTGGCCTCCATGTGACTGAGCTGCTCTGAAAGGTCAAGGCTGGCCCGGCTCAGTCTCCCTGCAACGCCCCAAGACTGGCAGCTCTCCTTGCACCAGACCCGCGTCTCAGCACCAGGCACACAAGAGGCCCTCAGCACACTGCAGCTGCACTGAGCTGCACGCAGCTTCTCCCTGGGAGAACACAGAGCAGAAACACAGAAGCTGCCCAGTCTGCAGCCAGCAGCGCATCTCCCCTGCGTGGGAGGACACAGCAGGTTGGCTGGTCCTGGCCACCCCTTCCTCTGGGCGGGGATGCAGAAGGGAGATTCCCATGGAGAGAGCCAGGCAGGCACAGCCCAGCACGGCCGGCCCTGTGGTGTGCACTCACCTCCTCCCAGACTGGCTTTCACACTGCGGAGGGGCGTTCCAGTGCCTCCACTCACCTCCGGCCCTGTCTTCATCTCTTTGCAGCTGTGGGCTTGGGGACAGGGATGGGGATCCCTTCCTTTTCCAGGCTGGGAACATATGGAGGTGCATGGCTCACCCCTTTGCTGGCTTCCCCAGGAGAAGGGGCTACCTGAGGCCATGCAGCCATTACAAGTGGCAGGCCAGCACTGGGGTTGCTGGACTCTACACAGTGTCCTGAGGGTGACCTGGGGTGAGCCTCAAAGGCACTCCAAATAAACACATGTTCTAAGTCAACAGCATCTTTGCTATCAGACATCCCCTCAGCCACTGCCCCTCCCATGTAGACACAGAACAGGGCGCTTTGTACCGAACAAAAAGAACAACCCAGGGGCACACTGGTGCTATAGTCGGCCGGGGGCAGGGGGCTGGTTTCCATGATCCCCAGGACCCCAGTCTTCCAGGTCCGGGCAACAGGGCTTTGAAGAAGGAAGGGGCAGCCAGGGTCACAGTGTGTTGAGTAATAACAGAATCCTGAAAGAACAGATGTGAAAGCCTCTGCACTGCCAACCGAAAGTCTGTATTTCCTTTGCAAATCTTGGCAGCTGGGCCCGCCAGCGGCCCGCATGTCCTTCTGACACCCGGCCCAGTGTGAGCTGTTGTGAGGTGGGGAAGAAGCGCGTGGCTCTCCCTACATCCTAGGAAGGGGGTTACCAAGACGCCTCAGAGTGGACATGGCAGCCCACATGTGAAGTGTGAGCTCATGTTCACTGAACAGAATCACAGATGTGCATGTTTCTTTTTCCACTCAAGAAAGTCCTGAAGATTCTACGCTAAATCTTACGTACTATCACTAGGTGATAGGATTTAGCCGTTTTAGTTGGTACCTGTCTTGTTTGTGTCTGCTTCCTCAGCTTCTCTATGGAAATATACTACCCACCTCATTAGAAGATAATGGGGAAGACAACAGTTATGAAGAAAGTAAAGTGCAGGAATAAGGAAAAACAATGGCCTGACACACCCCAACACCAAACTCAGTCCCATGGAGAGAGCCAGGCCCTGCGTTTCTGCAGGAGGTTTTTATGATAATTAGATTAAAAATACTACCTAAAGCCACTGCCTGGCAATGGCACCAGTGTTACCAAAAGGGAATCAACAGGAAGCATAAGCCTCCTGGAGGGTGACAGCCCCCTCGCCAAGGTTCTCTCATGCCTTACCTCCCCCAAATCAAAAGTGATTTACATGAAGCCTCCAGATGCAACTGCCACATCAGGGCCTCCCTGGTGGCCTAGGGGTTAAGTCTCAGTGCTGTCACCTCTACAGCCGAAGTGCAATCCAGCCCAGCGAGCTGACCCACATGGCCCAGTAGGGAGCTGACCCACATGGCCCAGTAGGTCTCTCCTTGACCCGCCCGCTGCTCCCCTCCGCAGTGTATTTCAGTCCATCTGCCTGTTCCGCTCCCTGCTGTGTCTCTGGTGAATCCTCTCACCCATCTGCACCTCTGGCCTGTACCCCAGTTCTATGCAAAAAAATAAAGCAACTATAAGTCACAGAAAGTCCAGGGAACAAAGTTAGAGGCCACCTCAAAGCAACAAGACACGAGAGAGAAGGAACGAAAACCCTCCAGGTGAAAGGGGGCTCTAGCAAGGTATCAAGCATATACGTAACAGATATTATCAAACCCAGGACCATGCTCCATATATGTCTGATCTGTTTCATTATATTATGAACTTCATTATGTCAAATGCATTAAGCTCTTTATTTTAGAAAAATATATATATGGCAGGG